CCCGTCATCTACATTAGGTATTTCTCCTAATGCTCTCCCTCCCCTTGGCCCCCACCCCCTGACAGGCCCCAGTGCATGATGTTCCCCTCCCTGTGTCCATGTGTTCTCATTGTTCAGTTCCCACTTGTGAGTGACAACATGTGGTGTTTGGTTTTCTGTTCCTGTGTTAGTTTGCTGAGAATGATGGTTTCCAGCTTCACCCATGTCCCTGCAAAGGACATGAACTCATTCTTTTTTTACGGCTGTGTAGTATTGCATAGTGTATATGCACTATATTTTCATTATTCTGTCTATCATTGATGGGCATTTGAGTTGGTTCCAAGTCTTTGCCATTGTAAACAGTGCTGCAATAAACATACATGTGCCTGTGTCTTTATAGTAGAATGATTTATAATTCTTTGGGTATATACCCAATAATGGGATTGCTGGGTCAAATGGTATTTTTGGTTCTAGATCCCTGAGGAATTGCCACAGTCTTCCACAATGGTTGAACTAATTTACACTCCCATCCACTCTTTATCCATTCATCTGCGGATGGACGTTTAGGTTGCTTCTGAATCTTGGCTGTTGTGAATAGGGCTGCAAGAAGCAAAGAGTGCTTCTCTTCGAGATACCGATTTCCTTATTGGGGGTTATATACCTAGCAGTGGGATTGCTGGATTATACGGTAGCTCCACTTTTAGATTTTTGAGGAAGCTCTCTATTGTTCTTCATAGAGGTTGTCCTAATTTACATTCCCACCAACAGTGTATGAGGGTTTCCTTTTCTCCACATGCTCTCCGGCATTTGTTATTGTCTGTCTTTTGGATAAAAGCAGCTCTTAGCTGTGATGAGCTGATATTGCACTGTAGTTTGGATTTGCATTTCTCTGATGTTCAGTGACACCGAGCACCTTCTCGTATCTCCATTTTCCATTTGCATGTCTGCTTTTGAAGAATGTCTTTCAGATCTTTTGCCCGTTTTTTTTTTTTCCTATTGAGTTGTTTGAGCTCCTCATATACTTTGGCTGTTAATCTCCTTTTTCTTGCCTTATTTCTTAAATAGTAAGTTAAATATTTATTGTGCAAATATTTTCTTTCATTCTGCGGTTTGTCCAACGTAATTTTAAAGTCCTAAAGGAATTTGATTCGATGACCCTTCAGTATGTCATAACCTGAACTTCTTAGCTGATTTGATGGGCCTCTATGGCAGATGGCACCTAAGGATGTGTCACGTTAACGCCTCTTGGTTGAACCTGTCTTCAGCTTCACCTGCCTTTGGCCACCTGCTCCACCCAGCAGCCCCTGCAGTGGCCTGCTCCACGCCAGCCATCGTGTGCGGGCTTGAGGTGTGTAGAACCCAGCAGGGCTGCCTCGGGCTCCAGGGCCTTGTGCTTGCAGCCTCAGGCCTTGTTCCTCCCCCTGGGGGCTTCCCTGTGGAAGGTTGAGGTGAGAACCTTATGGGAACCTCAATGAGCAACCTGGAAGTATCTGGGAGTTAGATCCCTGTGGGGCCAGCTTTTGAATGGGAGGCAGGAACGGGCTGAACTCTTCTTCGCCCTGGTTAACACAGCTTCTTACAGGACAGTCCCTAGAGGGGGAGCAACCAGTCATGCTTGATACCAAGCAAAGGTCAGCTTGGTGAGGCCTCCTGCTATTGGCTCTGCTGCCTTCCCTGACCTGTTTCATTCTGCTTTTTCCCTGCTCTGGCTGCCCTGGGATGGTACGCTTTAATGAAGAAGCGTATCCAAATCCTTTGCCTTGGCTCTGATTTAAAAATTCCAGCTAGGATGACTTCTAACCACTGTCATTCTTCCCCCCCAGGATGCTTTCCAATTTCTACATGTCTGAAATGAATGCTACAGTCTCAAAAGGCAGCACTAATGATGGCCATGGGGGTAGTTAGCCGTAATGCTGAGCCAGGGGAGTTCTTTAAGAGGAGATTTGAAAGATCATAACTTGGGCAGAGGAATTTCAGAGGCAACTGGGCTGAACTGAGAAAGTAATCATAGCTGACATTTCCTGAGAGCTTACAATGCATTTTATTTGCATGTATTATCGCTTTTACTCTTTGCACCAACCCTATTAGAGAGACCTTATTATTTTTACCATGAAAGTAACTTGTCCAACATCAAAAGTAGAAAGGGGTGGAGGTATGATTTGAATCCAGGCAGTCTGTCTCCAGCACGCACTTTATTAGTCTTAAACACTTTGCTCATGTAAGTCAGGTGACAGGAGCTCCAATCTCTATATGAACTGCCCACTCTGGGACACAGCTGACTTTATACGCAACTTGTAGTGATCTGTAAAGTCTGGTGCTTAGGAGAGTGGTTTCTGGAGCCAGGTTCACCAGAGTTCAAATCCAGGCTCTGGAACTTCCTGACTGCTGTAGCCTTGGCCAAGTAACTTTGTCCTGCTGAAACTCTATTTCCTCTCCTGTAAAAAGGTCGGTAACAATATTGGGTGGAATGGTGAGGATTAAAACATTTAGCAAGGTGCAAGCCACAGAATATGTACCCTGTCCGTTTTATATGTTACTATTACTAATGCACTGATCTGTTTTCACGCTGCTGATAAAGACATACTCAAGACCGGGTAATTTATAAAGAATAAGAGGTCGAATGGACGCACAGTTCCACATGGCTGGGAGGCCTCACAATCTTGGCAGAAGGCAAAAGGCACATCTTACATAGTGGCAGACAGGAGACAATGAGACAAGTGAAAGGGGAAACCCCTCATAAAACCACCGGATCTCATGAGACTTATTCACTACCATGAGAACAGTATAGAGGCAATGGCCCCCATGATTTCAATGATCTCCCATCAGTTCCCTCTCACCACACATGGAAATTATGGGAGCTACCATCCAAGACGAGATTTGGGTGGGAGCACAGCCAAAGCATAACAACTATTAACATTATTATATTATCAGTGAAAGGCAAAGGTTAGCACAGATGAAGGTTTAAGGTCCCTTCTGGTCCTGAGAGCTATGAATCTGAGGATGGACGTGCTTCTCTCTCTCAAACCCCCCTCTGCTGCATTCACTCCTCACTGTGTAATTACATTTCCTCGAAATTCATGCTCTGTTGTTCCTCACCTTTCAACTCAGCCATCTCTCAATAAAAGTTTTAAAAAGTCAGAATTTTTTCTTTCTCTCTCTCTCCTTCCCCTGGTGTGGCCTCACCAAGGTCTAAAGCACACCCTGATCTGGCCCCTGCCTTCCACCCCAGCCTCGCTCCATGCTGCTCTTCCCTTTCTACCATGTCTCACCAGGCTTTTTTCCTCTCAGCCCTCTATCCCTGGGGTCCACTTTCATCTCTTCTCCCCATGCTGGGGCCTCCTATTCTCTTTTAGCTTAGAGACCAGCTCCAGGGCCAGCCCCTCCCCTCTGTGCTCTGCCTCAGCACCCCATTTATCTCCTTCAGGCACGTGGTACCATTTGTGACAATTTTGCCCTTTATGTCTGTCACCTTCTCCACCATTTGTTTCTTGCAATTATTTTTACATTCAGCTCTGGAATAAATAGATGTCACTGATGGAGCATCTCCTATGTGCCAGACCCTGTGCTAAGATTTAATCCTGGAAAAACATCTTTATTCATTAAATACTTTTAAAGCACATATGAGCTGCACACTGGAAAGTCCCAATACTAAGGGTCTGGAGAGGCCAGAATTGGCAGGAGAGCGGGTGATGCCCTTGGTGGGGTGAGGTGGATGGGTAGAAAGAGCACAGGGCGCTATAAGGTTTCATCTCCCTCATTTAAACAAAGAGGGAATTGAGACTTTGAGAAAGAAGAAGGCTTGTCAGGGGACAGCTCTCAAGCTGTGGCCCATGAACCTCGGGGGTCCCTGAGACCTTTTTGGGACTCATGAGGGCCTCCCTTTCCCAACTGCATTATTTGTGTGAGGCTGGAGTTTTTCATACTTGCAACTAGACAACTGAACAGTGTATTTGGAACGACTGAAGGCAGAAGTAGACATGAGAATCGAATCTTCCATTAAGCCTGATATTAAAGAGATGAGTGAAAATGTAAAATGATGACAATCTTCTCAATTTTTTTGTCTTAGAAAATATAGTTGTTTTTAAAGTGTAATTTTTATGACCATGGAATGGATTTTTATATTATTTTAAATGAATTAATACACACATTTAAAACATTTTGTTTTAATTTTTAATACAGTAAATATCAATAAATAACTGACATAAACAAAAGTTCTTTGGAGTCCTCAATAATTTCTAGGATTGTAAAGAGGTCCTGAGAAAAAAAATTAATAATTGGGAGACATAGTATCAGAATATACAGTAACTGTTCAGTAATATTACTGCAAATTAATTAATAAGATTGTCTATTCATAATAGCAAAGGCATGGAATCAACCCAGGTGCCCATCTGTGGTGGACGGGATAAAGAAAATGTGGACTACCACACAGCCATAAAAAAGAACTAAGTTATGTCCTTTCAGCATGGATGCAGCTGGAGACCATTATGCGAAGCGAATTAACACAGAAACAGAAAACCAACCACTCATATTCCCACTTACGAGTGAGAACTAAACACTGGGTACTCAGGGACATACAGATAGGAACGATAAATGCCAGGGATTCCAAAAACGGGGAAGGAGGGAGGGGAAAGGGTTTGAAAACTTACCTATGAGGTACTATGTTCACTATGTTCCCGGGCACCGGGATTATTGGAAATCCAAACCTTAGCATCAAGCAATATAACTGTGTAATAAACCTGCACACATACCCCCTGAATCTAGATTAAAAAAAAAATTATTAAAAAATAGGAGTGCCTCCTCCTTTACGCCACTTGAATTATTAGGGCACATAAATCTCACACCCTATTTGCCAAGGGCATTCGTTCCTAGCTCTTTCACAGGTAAGGCCATTTCTCAATGCAAGTCTGTGGGACGCACGGAGAAAGATTTCCCTCCCCTCCCCTCTGATCCCGCCCCGGCTGGGTCCCGCCGCGCGGAGCCTCTGGCGCGCCCCCTGCTGCCCGCGGCCGGAGCCGTTCGCCACACCCCCGTGTTTATGTCCGCCCACGGGGGTTGCCTGTCCCTTTAATTGGCATGTACCAAGTCCTTCCAGGTCACATTTCCTCCCTGCATCCCAGCCGTTTGGAATCATTGGCCAAAAGTCCAAGAGGAAGCAATGTGGAGGCAGCGTTGTATTTTTGTGGGGAGTTCTGGGCCGACCGGGAGCGAGAGCGCGCTCGGGAGCGAAGCGCGCCATTGCGGCCCTCCCCGCCACGTGCCGTAGTCCAGTCCCAAGATGGCGGCCACCATGAAGAAGGCGGTGAGTGGGGAGCTCGGGGCGCTGGATGTTTGGGCGGCGCCGGAGCTCGGCAGTCGGGTCCCGGACGCGGCATGCTGGGTGTGCTCAGCTCCGAAGCCTGGCGTGGGGCCCGAGGCCGAGGCTGAGGCCCTGAGATCAGCCCCGCGGCGCGGCCTGCCTGCTGCCTCCCTTGAGCATTTTCTTAGGCACCTGGCCGGCCGAGGCGGGGCTCCGGGGCTGGGGCCGGGAGCCTTGGGGGGCGCAGGGTCTCCTTCCGCGGTTCCGAGGGTGCCCCCGGGGAGTCTGAGGAACCTGCAGCCCCAGCCTCGCCCCTGGGGTGTGGGAAGCCGAATGTCCCGTTGAGTGTGGTTGGCTTTGACCCGGGCGCTGCCCCGGGATTATCGCATTAGCTTCACGGGTCATGGGTAGCTACTGCTAGGACCGTGTTTACGAGGGAGGAAACTGAGGCCCAGAGATGGGGAGTGACCTGCTCCAGGTTACGCAGCTCGTAAGTGGGAGAACAGGTTCCTGCATCCCCGGATTATCAGGCCCCAGAGCCCCCTCTGTCCAACCGGGAGCTGCTTGTAGCCATGCTCGATGCCCCTGCCTCCTCCAGGCTGAAACCAGTATTTACTGAGGATGGACGATGTGCCGGGCCCAGCAGCCGGCCGTGGATCTGTATCCTCTCCGCAACTCAGCAAGTGTGTGGGTTCCTCCCCACTTGGCAGGTAGGGAAGCTTAGGCACAGAGCAGTTAGGACCCCCAAAGTGACTCAGCTAGTAAGAAGCAGAGCTGGAGATCAAACTCGGGTTTGGTTGTGTTTTATGCAAAGCACACCTAGGTAAGCACTAAGCCCGCTAAACTTCCATGTGGGGTTTATAATGCCTTGAATCTTCCCAGATGTGTAAAGATCGCTAGGTAGAATAAAAAGAAAATTGGAGAGGGGGAAGGAAATAAGGCTGATAATTTGGGGGATCTTTACAGTTTGCTAGGTACAGTTGTAAGGTTTTTTTTGTTTTTGTTTTTGTTTTTGCGTGTATTGTTTATCTTACGCTCTTTTGGGGGAGATACTGTTTCTATCCTGATTTAACAAATGAGTAAACAGGCATGGAGGCAGAGCTCGCATTTTAACCACAGGCATTCTGACTCTGTTTTTTAACTGCTGTAGGGGATCTTCGATGCGAAGCCCTTGGCTGAAGGGATTTACTGTTCATTCCACTTTTAAGAACACATTAGAACTTCCTTTGCCTTGCCTCTATCCAGTACCACATAGTGCAGTACCACACATCCAGTACCACAGATGTTCCATTTGTGCCTGGTATACGGTGACCCATTGACCCCTTTTATCCGAAATTGAGGGACTGCCCAAACTGGGAAAGCCCCAGTCAACTCAGGATGAGTTGCTCGCCCTTCTCTTCTGACATCCAGAAAATCTAACTCAGTCCCAGAGTAGGGTCCAGGGCCATGGTGCTTCAAAAAAACATGAAACTTTGCATCACCTTTAGTTTGTTAAATTGGGCCCGCTGGTGTTAGATATGGCCTTTAATTTCTTGGAAGATACTAGTTGTAGTTCACTCGGTTTTATAGGTGTGGAAACTGAAGTGCAGAGAAGTGAAGTAAATGGTACAAGAGGAAATGGCAGAAGAATGATTTGAACCCCGGATTTTGATTGCAAAATTTCTAATTTCCAACCTTTTCTTTACACCTTTCATTGATTCAGTAGAACTTTTTTGAGCATGTAACATGGATGGTGTAGTCTCAGTTTTAAGTGGAGACAACTACGGATTGACCAGTGAGGAAGTTCTTCGCCCTTATTCTCATTGCACCGAAGAATTTATGTTCAGGGAGAGGCAGCCATTGTTCAAATGGTCACACAGAAAATTTTCTCTGATGAGAACTGTGAAGGAAAAGTACTTGCGAAATGAGGGCCAAAGTGAGGTCTGTTTTGACATCAGAGAAGGCTTTCCTGGGAAGGTGCCATTTAAGTTGAGACCTGCGAGATTATGTAAGGAGAGGAAGGGAAAGTTGGTTAGGGAGTGAGGCATTCTAGACAGGGAGTTTCTCGTGCAAAGACTCTGAGAATGCATTTAATACAAGGAAGTCCAGATAGCAGATAATCAGGGAAAAAGAGTTTGAGCCATGATGGGAAATGAACGGGGTAGGTGGTGGCCAAAATATAAAGGCTTTTCTGTATCTTTGGAGTCTTTAAGAGTCACATGATAGATGTCGTGTCCTCCTGTAGATGTTTCCATTGATGAACAATTCCTGATAGATTAGCTTACATGTATTCTTTGCCCCTTTGCCCTCACTAGGAAAAAACACACATGTATGCCAGTGAGTGAGAGTGAAACAGAGAGAGAGAGCCCTTTGAGTTTAATTAAAAGTAAATCATGTACAATCCAGAGTACTTACGTTTGTAACACATTGTACCTTCCAACTGGTCATGACTTTTCTGGGGAGAGTGTTTAGATGAGATGATTCAGTCCTCTCGTCTCTAAAGTTCTGCCTTCTGAGATCTAGTTCTTGACTATAAGGAGATCTGCACTTTCATGATTTCATTATCCTACATGCAAATATTCCTCAGAGAGGCTACTTTTGACCTTTGTCTAAAGAAGCCTCCTTCCCTCCCCAGGCCCCGAGAACTTTCTACTACTAAGCTGTTTTATTTGTCACCATCGAACATGATCTTGTTCATCTTGGTTCTCGCTTTCTTCCTCCACCAGGACGTATGCTTGCCATTTGTGTTCAGGAAGGTGGGGTAGTGGCTCTCTTGTCACAGTACATGGTGTTTAGGAAACAATATTGTTAAATGAGTGACTCCGTGGATGAAAGCTGAGTACAATACAAAGCAAAAGTTTATATCATACAGACTCGGTAGATATGTTTTTAAAAGTAAAAATACAAGACTGAAATTGACCAGAATTGATTTCTAGGGACCCAGCTGTCAGTTCAGACTCCAAGTAATACCTAGACTTGGCGCGGGGCATTACTAAGTATGGTTCAGTTTCCTTTTCTAATCCCGGAAGATATTTATTCTCAAGAAAATAGCCCAGGGAATTTTAATTTTTACATTGGATCTCGAGCCCATGTATTTCTCTTTGGCCTAGCAGAACTTTTTTCTAGATCTGGATCTGTTCTTTGTAATGATTTTTGATAAACAGTATTCAGGAAATAAAATGCTTAGCTATCACTTATTGAAAGCTGACTTTCTCCTAGGTATTCATTTTATCAACCCTATAAGGAAGGAACGAGCTTCTCCATTTTGTAGATGAGAAACCTGAGGTGGTTTCAAAGAATTGGGTAATTTGCCCAGGGTTCCTGTTTGCTTGGATTGGATTCTGGTCTGACCCTTTCCACCACTCTGTGTGCTGCCTTCGATACTACAGGATATGAGTTCTTCCTAGAGTTCTTGTGATTCTGAGAGTAGCTACCTTTGGTTTCCCTGAAGGCAGGAGTTACTAACTTTTTGGGGTTGTGGATCCATCCCATTGAGAATCTGATGAAAGCTGGAAGACCTTCCAGAAGGCACATACTGTTCATGCCATTTTGCATACAGTCTCAGCGTAAATTGCCCTCTCAGTGTCCATTGACCCCACTCCCCCACCCTCACCCCCAGTTAAGAATTACCCACTTCTAGGCTGGGTGCAGTGGCTCATGCCATTTTTATGTCAATCTAGCATATACATGGAAGGAAACTTAACTCAAAGGCCCGATAATTCGTAAACTTGAGCATACATCAGAATCACTGAGGGTGGTTGTTAAGGAACAAACCACTTAGGCTGGGCACAGTGGCTTATGCCTGTAATCCCAGCACTTTGGGAGGCTGAGACAGGTGGATCATGAGGTCAAAAATTCAAGACCAGCCTGGCCAAGATGGTGAAACGCCGTCTCTACTAAAAATACAAATATTAGTCAGGCATGGTGGCAGGTGCCTGTAATCACAGCTACTCGGGAGGTTGAGGTGAAGAATTGCTTGAACCCGGGAGGTGGAGATTGCAGTGAGCCGAGATCGCACCTCTGCACTCCAGCTTCAAAACAAGAATTACCCACTTCTGGCTGGGCATGGTGGTTCATGGCTGTAATCCCAACGCTTTGGGAGGCCAAGGCAGGTGTATTACCTGTTAGGAGTTTGAGACCAGCCTGGCTAACATGGTAAAACCCCCACCCCCACTAAAAATACAAAAATTAGCTGGGCATGGTGGTACGTATCTGTAATCTCAGCTACTTGGAGGCTGAGGCAGGAAAATGGCTTGAACCCAGGAGGTGGAGGTTGCAGTGAGCCGAGATTGCTCCACTGCACTTCAGCCTGGGCGACGGTGAGACTGTCTCAAAAAAACAAAAACAAAAACAAAAAACAACAACAACAACAACAAAAACACTTCTTGCCAAAATGCAGCTTCAAGAAATGTAGGAATGATCTAGGACAGTGATCCTGAAACAGAAGCCTCTGTTAGCCATCAGAGGTACTGACATCTTACTTTCTGCTGTAAACAGCGGCCAATGGGCGGCATTTTAGCCCAGTGGACTCACACATCAACTTTAGCCCTTTACCCCAGTGGGAAAATCACCATAAAGAACTGGATACCAGGGACCAAGTATGTGCTGGTGGCTGTGGTTTGGTGCGGCTACATCAGGAAATTTCTGCTTTGGAAAGATGGAAAGCATCGCCAAATTCTCTCTACCACGTTTTGGAAACTTGAGTGTTTGAGTCTGATCAAGTGTGATTGAGATTCAAATTCAGAAACCATATATTAGCTTCAGTTATGTGCCAGGCGGTCCTACACTGGATCCGTTCATGTGAATGGCTCTGTTGAGCCCTCACTAGGACAAATGGATCCATAAATACCTGTTAAGGTTTTCAGTATTTAAACAAAATGGCATATACTCTTCAGGCAAACAGGAACTCTTCAGAATTCTCTGCTGTCTGTTTGCATAGGGAATTGACAGTTCTCACTTTGGCAAATGACTTGTGTGCCGCGAGGGATTCTTTGGTTTCTTTAGTGTAGCTCGGTGTTCCCCAACTTCCATATTCATCAAAATTATGCATCTGGATGAACACTCAAAGCTATACATAGTGTGATGTAAAGGATTTTTTTCAGGCTATCTTCTGCGTTGCTGAGGTGGGACATAATGCTTGTGAAATTGCTTATTGGAATGAGAGCCTGACAAAGGGGAAGGCTGTGTTAAATTTCGACCACTGAGCTCTGTGCCGATTGATGCCGCCTTTCAACCTCTGAGAAATAAAAGTTCACTTATCTGAAGTTGATGGTCGCAAGAGACCAGGTCAGGGATGATGTGTGGATGTTGTGAGCTCATTACTGTTACTGCAAAAGAGCCAAAAACAGTTCTTCAGTAAGAACTATTTTTATACACATTCACATGTCTTTCCTCCTTTAAAGTAGAATCAGGTGCTCTGATTCTCATTTTATAAATGGAAGGGAAACCCTAAGGAGAGTCTGGTTTTATTTTCTAGCTTTATTTTTAAAAAAATATATAGTACCTCCTTGAGAATCTGATGAAAGCAGACTTCCTGCTGCCTCTTCCAAATGTGCCTAAGCCTCTGTGCACACTCACACACGTGTACACGCTCACACAGACGCACGTTCACACTCAGTTTCCCAGAATTCATGGACCTGTCTGACCTCTGCAGCCAGTCTGCCCGGGTTGAAATCAAGCTCCACCACCTACTGACTGTGTGGCTTTGGGCATGTTATATAAAGTTTGCCTCAGTTTCTCAATCTGTAAAATAGTACTGGTGATCCTCCTTACTAGGCTGAATTGGAGGATTAGCAGAGATGAGAAAGTACTTAGGAAGTTTTGGCACATAGTAAACTCTCAATCAATGTTAGCTATTTTTAAAAATTTCATGGGTATTATGTTATCCAAGTACTCTTTATTTGCAGATTTGTAAATTTAATCGCATTAGATATTAATTTTTAAATACTAAACATTCAATTTTTATCATGTTTTAGTGAAGTAGACCTTATTAAGACATTTAAACAGGTCCTACATCATTAACATAATTTTTGCGATGAATGGAATGTAGCTACTGAAATATGCAGTGACCCTTTAGCCAGTATCTCGTTTGTTTTAAATACCATAGAAACCATCAGATTTTTATTACCACACTAAGCTCACGCAAGTTTTGGCTTTAGGCAAAAACAAAAACAAACAAATAAACCACTACTATGAGGCATTTACCAACATATTTGACACATAACTTTTTGTTTCCTGGGTTATCTTAATAGAAGAATCCTCCAACTTGAGAAATTCTGCTCTGGGCCAAAAGTTGGCTTTTTTCTATTCTTTTTCAAGAACTTATTAATTGTTCTTTATATTTGCAGTATTCTTATAGCATAGGAAATATAGAGTATCAGAAAAGGTTATATAGATTTATGAACAAGCCTTAAGCTTGTGGAGCAAAAAATAAGGCATTTATTATGTTCTGTATTCTTGTGATTCTTGACTGTATGAGTGCACATAGTTTATTGAGTTATGGTTGAGAAATATAAAAAGCTAACTGACAACTTCTCCATTAAAATTTTACAAAAACTTAAAAACTTTTTTCAGGCTGCAGAAGATGTCAATGTTACTTTCGAAGATCAACAAAAGATAAACAAATTTGCACGGAATACAAGTAGAATCACAGAGCTGAAGGAAGAAATAGAAGTAAAAAAGGTATTGAAAATAATTATTGGAAGAATAAAAAAATGTTATACTGTAGCTACTTAAAACTGAACTCAGTTAACAAGTATATTTCTCTGGGCTGTTTGTTGCAGATGATGCAATCCACTCTGGTTAAGTAGAAAGTCTTTTTTTTTTTTTTTTTTTAAGGGATACAAGATAACTTATTATTGAGGCGCTTGAGTCTAGACTGAGGTTCCAGGAACAAGTCTTGGAGTACTTGGCTGGCGATGGAACAGCTGTTACCTCCACTGATCCCTGAGTCAGCTGTCTTCCCAATGAGGAAGCCACCCTTGCAGACCTAGGAACACCAAGCTACTGCTGCCACTGCCACCTACCCCTGTAAATCTGGGGCCTGTGTCCAGCCTGTCTCCCTTGAATTGAAATCCAGCTCAAGTGCATTTGATTGGTGGAATTTATTATCACTTACACATGCTGGCAGAGCCTTCATTACCAGTGCGATTTACTTACACCCTATCAGCAAGCAAGGCTGAGAAATGTATGTTGGTCTTTTGGTTTGGTTTTTGTAGGAACGCAGAATTCACACAGTTGAAAATTGTTAAAACAGAAGAAATTTTGAGTGACCGTGGGTGCCTGCTGTCCCACGGGGTGCTTATGGCAATCTGAAAATGTCCAGAGGACAATGCACTAGCTCTAACCGCTTGTCTGTGAAGTGTCATCTAAAATGTTACAAACTAGTCTTATTCTAATGTGGTAATACCTTTGTGAGGGGGTCCCTCAGAGAGTTGCTGTCCCCAGATTACAAATGGCCTTTAGCTTCTATCAGAGAATTTTGAATACATTTTTCTATGCCATTTTGCATTTATAGAAACAACTCCAAAACCTAGAAGATGCTTGTGATGACATCATGCTTGCAGATGATGACTGCTTAATGATACCTTATCAGATTGGTGATGTTTTCATTAGCCATTCTCAAGAAGAAACACAAGAAATGTTAGAAGAAGCAAAGGTATGTTCAAAGTTAATTCTGAAGTTAGAATTTATATAATTATAAAGAACATGTAATTGTAGGTGTTGGGACATAGTGGATGCTAACTGTAGTTAACATTCATGGCCTTGTTATGTCCCACACATGCGCTGATGCTTTGCTAGCAGGATCTTATGGAATCCGAACAATGACCTGTTAATCCCAATTTAGGGACAAAGAATAGAGGCTTAGAGATGTTACGGGATTTATTCAGTGTGACACATAGACAGCGGTCTTCTGACTCCAGAACCTTGCCCAAAACTAAAACTATGTAGAAAGCATAGCATATATTGAAGCAGAAAAGAGAAATCCTCTGTAATGCTACTACCCAGAGGTGACATTTTCATGTATTTCTTTTACGTTCTTTCTGACTCCTTCCGAAAAGTGGTTTGCTTCCCAGTTTGGAGAGTTAATGTTCTAGGAGGAGCATTTTTTTCTAGGAGGAGCATTTTTGCTTGTTTTGTTTACTGTTTATTTGTACAGCAGATACTCATTGGGAGCCTGCTCTGGGCCAGGCACACAGGCCTTTTAAAAACATTGTTTTTGATTACTGTTTAATATCATGTTGATGGATATCAACTGGGGCCATGAATCTTATTGTTAGCATTAATTTGTTTCCAGTATTTCGCCGTAGTAATGTTACAGTGAGCATTCTTCTACATACGTCTTTGTTAACATTTAGGAAATTGTTTTGAGGAAATAATTAGGGATGTATAATGTCTGGGTCAGCATGAGTTCTCCGATGATATCTGAGACGTTTGATAAATGGTATGAAAATTTTCAGTTCACATGCTTTCTAACTATATGAGAGGGACAGTCACATTGCCTATAAAAGCTGATGGCAATTAAACCTTTCCTAATGCTTTTGCTAAAAACTTGATTGCTTAAAATGATAGTCTCTCTTCTTCAAATGTCATAAAAAGCAAAACTTCTTATGAATGAAACCCACATTTAGTAAATCTTGGGAAGAACTATCACTTACTCCCGTGTCTTTCCGTGCAGAAATGTTGTAAGTCCCCCTTATGTTTAAATGTTTTCTTCTTAGGCAAATTTTGTGATTTTGTTCTTCTTATTTAACCATTAAAAAAACATTTTTACTGAAAGCATTCCAAAACAGTTTATGGTCTTTGTGGCTATTGTGAGTCCCCTGCCCCGTACACAGATAGATACTGAACCTTTATTTTTTTACTCATTCATTCCTTCTGGAATGAATGAATTGAATACTTACCCTGTATCAGGTTCTGCCATGTACTGGGGATCACTGGGGACAACAAAACGTGCCTGGGCCCCGTCTGCATGGAGCATATAGTCTAGATGGAAAGAGAGAAAAGTAAACAAAACTGATGAGTAGAAAGTGGTATAAGGATAGAGGTGGCTTTAAGAACATAGGAAGGGGAGTCTATTCTAGTCTGGACATCAGGGGCTCCCAGGGAAAGTGATAAGAGAACAGCTGAGGAATAAGTGGCTGTCAGCCAGAAAGGGGTGGAGGGTGTGCTAGTCCTGAGAAGTAGCGTGTGTAAATGGCCATAGGATGATGGTGGTGCAAACATAAAACTGCAAGAAGATATATTTGCTGGAGATTTGGGAGCACCTGAAATCGTGGCCACATCTTGGAGAACTCTAGTCAGTTAAGTGGAATAAATTGCCCTTTATCTTAGCAGGGGTCAGCAAACTGTGTGTGAAGGCCAGAAGTAAATATATTAGGTTTTGTGGGCTGCACAGTCTCTGCCATAATTACTGTGAAAGCAAGATGAGTGAATCTGTATGGCTGTGTTCCAATAAAACTTGACAAAAACAAGCTTCAGGCTAGATTTGGTCTGAAGAACCTAGTACAGTGTTTGCCCACCCCTGTTCCAGAGCAAAGAGGAGCCTTCAGAGATTTTTGGAAAAGAGAGTTATGACTGGACTTGTGATATTAAAATAACTTTCTAGTGTCTTCTTTTACTTATTAACTAGGTTTTCTCGGTATAGACATTTAGAATTTATCTCCTTTCTAGTAGCCACATGTCTTATTTCTATTTCTTGTTTTGTAACAGTGATTCTCAAACTTGTAGCATGCATCAAAATCACAGTTGCCCACAGGTCTTGTTAAAAATTCAGAGTGCTGGGCTCAACCCAAAGAAGCTCTTTCAGGACGCCTGAAGTAGGGGCCCAGAGTGTGTACCTCTAACAGGTTCCCAGGTGATTTTTGTCCCTGATACTGGTCTGGGGGCCACTCTTTGAGAACCATTGGCTAGATTTCTAAAACAGTAACATTGTCAATATTAGATAATCTTTAGTTCCTAATGTTAATGCGTATTTGGTTTGTATGATTTCATATTTTTTGTCATGTTTAGGAAAAAAAATTGTTTTGATCCTAGCCAGGAACTTATGACTTGTTTTAACAAAGCATATATGTTAAAATTTATTTCTTCTATTAATGAGGGATTACAAAACTGGTTTTATAATTGAAGAGGCTACGTATCTATAGATGGCTAGGTAGGTAGAAAGAATTGTCCTTTGGAATTGTATTTTCTTTTTTAACATTGTAAATTGACAATTTATAATTCTATAAATGTATAGGGTAAATGTGATGTTGTAATTCATTAATATAATGTGGAGTAATTAAATCAAGATAATTAACATGTATCACCTTGAATACTTAGAAAACATGTGACGTTTCATTGGGCAAAGCTGCTCTGTCTTAAAAATGAGGCACCCTACCACTCTCTTCCAAAGTTTAGCTTCAGAGGCCTCAAAATTAGTGAAAATCTCTGCCAGAGTTGGATCTTAAGTTGTTATTCTTAATTATTGGTAGTTGATGGTGTGAGTTTCTATCATTTCCTGTAGTCTCATAGTTATTTTTGTTGTTGGGAAAAGCTGGGATAGAAGCCATTAGGCTCAGGATAAACTGTTTATAGAAGTCTTTGTATTTGCTTCTCTTTATTAGGAAATGATAATTTAGAAGTTATTATTATTTGTTTAGTTTTTGGATTAGCAGAAAGGGAGAAAACAAGCTTGATTTATTCTGTGATAAGCAAATATGGACCATGAGTTTAAAATGCCCACATTCAGATATTTAGACCTAATTATCAGTGTTACTTAGCTGCCTGTTCAAGTTTAGAAGGTTCTTGACCTAAAATTCTTCCCAAATATTATTTCAGACACAGATGCTCAGAAATCATCCAATTGAATAGAATTAATGCAAATTATTTTTTTCCAGAAAAACTTGCAAGAAGAAATTGACGCCTTAGAATCCAGAGTGGAATCAATTCAGCGGGTCTTAGCAGATTTGAAAGTTCAGTTGTATGCAAAATTTGGGAGCAACATAAACCTTGAAGCCGATGAAAGTTAAACATTTTATAATACTTTTTTATTTGTTTAATAAACTTGAATATTGTTTAAAATGATAATTTCCCTTCTTCAAATGACATGGAAAGCAAAACTTTCTTTTTTTAAAATTTTCATTTATTTAATGGAAACTTGCCTATTTTCATGTCTTGCTTATTTATTTTATATTTTTAAAAGAAGACAGTATTCACCTATGTATTTTGCATAACGATTATATCAAGTCTAGGGGCTTTATGTCATGTTATTAAAATCAGTTAAGCAATCTTTTATGTTTCTATATTATTTAGAATATTTGTTGTCGCAATTTTCACGTAAGAAAATTTAGCGGTTGTGTCATGTTTCTATGTGTGATTTTAATTGCTGTCTAATGACTGGGAAAGCATAACTAAAAGATGTACAATCCTGCGTCCTTCCTTATTTCATAGCTAAAGCTTTATCAGAGACTTCAAAATATATATGTATATATTTTATTTAAATATATGTTACATATTATATTTAAACACACATATTTTTTACAGATCTATCAATATCAGAGATTTGGGTAAAAGAATGGGCAATGTGTAAACCTGTGACTGCATGTGGAGCTTTATAGAAACAGTGCAGAACCACAGAAAAACGTTTTAGGAGCCAAGAGATGCACAGAAAGAAATGTTTAGTGTGTTTTTGTTTTCAATTTTAGATTTTATTGTAGTGCCTTGTAATTAATTAGGGTTTATACTGATAAAGATGTGGAAGTTAAATGGCTACGTACTTAAAGTGAGGCTTATTTCTTAAATAAAGGGTACATTTCCTCCTACTCCCTCCCAAAAGACATACATTTTGGGATTTGGGAGACCTAAGTGTATCAACTTTCCAGCAGATGGCACTAATGTGCCAAAATGTGAATGGAAGGATCATACCACAAAAAAATGAGGATATTGTGAGGATTAAATATACCTAACTTTAGAGAAATGTTTTTAATTTTTAAGGCTAAACTGCATATGTATTTTTTGGTTCAATGTTTATAAACGTGAATCGGGCTTAAAGATAGACGATGATATAATTTCTAAAATGCTTAATACTATAAAGGCAATTTTTTTTTTAAAAGATGGCCTCTCAACTGTGTTGCCCAGGCTAGAGTGCAGTGATATTATCTCAGCTCACAGCAACCTCCACTTTCTGGGTTCCAGTGATTCTCCCACCTCAGCTTCCCAAGTAGCTGGGATTACAGCCGGGTGCCAGTACACCCAGCTAACTTCTGTATTTTTAGTAGATAGAGGATTTCACCATGTCGGCCAGGCTGGTCATGAACTCCCGAACTCTGGTGATCTACTCACCTTGGCCTCCCAAAGTGCTGGGATTACAGGTGTGAGCCACTGTGCCCAACCAAAGGCGAATTTTTTTAATTGCTGCAAAAATTTTCCCAAATAGTGATATTCAAGTTTTAGAAAATGACTCTTACCAAGGGTATTTTTTTCTTCCATGCATTTGGTTAATGTTCAGTTAGAGGAGTGAGGCTGGGGAGATGAATCAGTCAACTTACAGTAGGAAATAGAATAATTTGAGGAAACTCTAGGCAAAATAACAATGGTGCCAGGTAACCACTAGGGTCCTTTTGTACCATCAATGGCCAGGGGAGAGAGCAACTGACCCCTTCACTCTGGACGAAGAAAAAGTTGTTCTTCATCTGGGGAGGAACACAGCCAGCCTGTCATCCCTGCAGTGATAGAGCCAGGGGACTAGACACTCCGACCTCATTCTCTCTCCCTGCAAAATCCACTTGGGTTCCACCGTTGGCCAAACCCAACAGGAATCCTGACTTCTATGGTTCATAGAAGTCAATCGCCTGCAGGGCCTGGGAGGAATGGACGGATGGGAATTCCCATCCTCCAGGAATGGGAGGAATGGTGGGGAATGGACGGATCTGGGGATTCCCCCAGTGGAAGATCTAGCATAGGAGGATGACTGAAGTTTAACCCTTTAGAAATGTTGACAATGAACACTCACCTGACATGGGCCAAGAGACTGAACTATAATTCACTGGGACTTTAAATTTTGTCCTGCATGTTATCAAGACAACCTAATACAAAAACCCAAATATCTAACATCAGTGGGATGGAAGGGTGTGATGTTGCTAACTTCATTTTCTTAACTTACCTGGGACATTTTAGAACATTACAAATATTTGATTCCCATTTTAAATTCATTTCTAAAGCCTTTGCTTATTTTCATGAATAGTAACCTCCCCGGGCTAGGTGTGAAGACAGGTGAACAGCACGCTTCATCTGAAGGGTGTGGAAATGTCAGCTTCATCCAGTAGTTGCCACGGAGGGAAGTTTTGATCTGGATCTGTCACTTTTTTTTTTTTTTTTTTTTTAAAGCAGGAATCCTAATTTTTATGTGCAATCACTATTTTTAGACCTGGCCACTATTTGTTTTTTAAAGCAGTGCAGGCTACGCAAAAGATAACTGCACAACAAATCTGACCCTGAGACCGCCTGTTTGCAAACTCAGGTGCACAACGTGATATGTCTTATTCAGGCTTTTCACAGCAAGTGGTAGTAGGAGTCTTACCAGCAGCTGTGCTTTGCTGCTGACTTTAATGTTGAAATATCTCTCAAATGCCTTCATTTCTTGTCATCTCCGCAAATACCATGATCTTTGTCCAAGCCTTGTGAGCGCTAGTCAAAAGCATTGCGAAGGAAGGCAGCAAGGGGTTGGAAAAGCCATTTGAGATAGGGTTTTCACAGGGGAGTCTCTAAAGGGTTTTGAACCGAAAGGTAATTTACGTGATTGGAGCAGTATTTTTTAATAATTTGGCAGTTGTTAGGTGGCTTTCACTGCAAAAAGATGGAGGTAGAAATACCGGATGTTACTGTACCTTCTCTGGTGTGCCTAACCAGTTGGCTGAAGAAAAGGTACACCAGGACTTAGAGAAAGGGTGAAATGTACAAATTTTGGCAATGATTGGAGAGATGAAGGTGAGGGTAGAAGGAGAAAGCCAAAAAGAACTTGCTTTTGAGCACAGGCCAGTACAGTTTGCAACAGGTTTTCTTTGGCTCCTATAGTTTAACCACAAAAAACTGAATTTGTGGCCACAGTCAAATCCAGAGATCTCACATAAAAATGTACAGTTTGGCAACATGGAAACCATATTTCTAAATGACAGTCTTCAGCTGCTCACGCATTAGACAAAGCAGGCTGCCTCTGGTTCACCCCAGTCCCTACCCAGCCCACTACCCTCATTTATTTTACCTGCATGGTGCCTGTCTGTATTTGCTTTGTGATCTCTGGATGCCTGCTGGTAGTGTAAGCAGAGGCAGGAAAGAGAGAAGTGTCTGTAGGAAGCACGGCTGAGGAAGGGGAGGGTGAGAGAAGGGCACGAGCTTGGCATCAGCACTTGGACTTCCCAGGGCATCAACCACGTGGAGACATGTAATTGGCAATTGGAAAAGCGCATTGAAGCTCAGAATATGCGGGACTCGGGAGAGAACCCTTTACATCCTAAAGAAGGGCGTCTTAACATTTAACGCACATAAACATCACCTGGGGATTTTGTTACACTGCGGAGTCTGGCTCCGTGTGGGCTCGGGCCTGAGAGACTGCCTTTCTCACGAGCTCCCAGATGCTGCTGCTACTGCGGACACCTGGGGCCACGCGTTGGACAGCTAAGGTAGCTTGCCACGAAGAAGAGGACGTGAGGGAAATGCAGAGGGAGGAAAAAGAAACAGCGAAGGAGACAGAAGCTGCAAAGGTAAGGGGAGATCCGCCAGAGTGTGATCCGAGAGGCCACAACGATGAGAATGTTGAAAGCAGGGGTATGAACAAGAGCCAGGAGTATAGAGTGGCCAATAAGAGCCGAGAAGGTGGAGCTCTATTTGATGACTAAGAAGGTCCTTATTTCCTTCAAAAAAGAGTTAACCGTCTTCTACCCCATACACAAAACTGCAGCATCAAACACCCTAGCCCCCCAAGACCTGAGGCCCCAACAATTGAGCCCCAGACACACCTGAGCCACACACACAGCTGAGCTCCCATAGCCCTGAGCTTTGAAACCTAACTTTCCCCACTAAGACGCCCACATCTGAGCCCTACACACCTGTCCCACATATAACTGAGCCCCCATACACCTGAGGTCCCCACACTGGAGCCCCCACATACTTGAGCCCTTCCCCATACTTGAACTTCCCACACAGCTGAGCCCCCATGTACTTGATCCCAAACTTGAGCTTCCATATACCTGAATCCCATGCACACCTGAGACCCCACACGCACCTGAGACCCCCATACCTCAGCCTCCCCACATCTGAGCCCATACACACGTGAGTTCCACATGCCCCCGAGGTATCAGCTCCCTCCTGTCAGGCACCAGTGCCACACACAGCAGTGATGCTCAGAGGGGGTAACTGTGGTTTGAAAAAGCTTCAACATATCAGGTGGCTGAGGATCAACAATACTTTAACAATTCTCTGATTAAGCGTTTCTCCAGGTGTGAACCTACAACCAACATCACCTGGGAACTTGTTAGAAATGCCAAGTTTTTCACGGGACTAAACCCTGAAAAAAAATTCCCCATTGGGCGATGATGTGGAGCAGCATAATGGCTGTTGCTTTCAAAGATGACTCCACAGAAACTCTGGGGACAGGGCCCAGGGTTTTAACAAGCACTCCAGGTGATTCTGACTCAGCAAAAGAGCTGGTGGGGTTCAAATCATTCTGTCTTTCTGGGGGTGGAGGGTGTGGGCATGGTGTAGGGGGAAGAGACTGAAGCACCAACTGAGAATTCTTAATGCAGATTACAGTGCTGGAGAGGGTAACAAGAGAGGACAGCACTGAAGAGATTGACTCATCCAGTTTAGGGACTGAGGGTAGCTAGAAGCATTCTGGTTGCTGGTAGTAAACAGATTATAAAAGGTTAAGCAGTAGGTGGTGTGAGATTTGGAAGCAACAAGTGAAAAGTATTTTTACAAGAAAGTTAACAGTGGTGGGAAAGTGGTCGACCATCACTTAATGCCACTGTGGTGCAGATGGAAAGGGCTTTTTTTTTTGGATATGGATGTACAGAGTAGATGGGAAGGACCCAAAAGAGAAGATGATGAAAACTTCAAAGGACAAGAGGTAACAGTTGGAGCACATCTGTGTGAAGAAAAGGGATTCTACAGTGGTTATACAAATGGTAGACTGGTAGACAGAATTAGGTGTACATGTTGCAAAACCTTTTTCTTGAGGAATAAATGGTAGAGAAAAAAAATCAGAATAGTGATTAACTGTAGGAAGAAGGTATAGCTGGAGGAAGCAAAAACAGGAGGAAGCTTTAATAATCTTTCTGTTCTGTTTCTTAAGTTAGGTCATGGGTC